TTCGTATACTATTGTCTTGTAAGTGATTTCACTTCGATTTATATGATTACTTAATCATTGGCTTGCCATAGATAGTAGTTCTTTCTTTTTCCACATGGAATAACTATAGCCTATAGTTTTCATAGAAACTATGATATTTATTGAAGATGTGTGCAATTGGAAGACTTCTGTCTGCTTTCTGCCTGCCTGTTGAGCTGCCAGGATTTGCTCAGTTTGGTTTTTGTTTGCTTGTTGTTTTGTTTGCAGTGCATTTCGATCCATGATTGAATATTTTAGTTTTGTTGGGCCAGAGAGGAGGTTATGAGGATGGCGATGATTCTGTCTCTCTCTCTCTCTCACTCTCTCTTTGGAGTACACTCTGCTGATTCACGCTCCACAAGCAGCTTCAACCTTATCCTGAGGCAAAAGCAACCAAGCAACATAGGTTGTTGTTATTGTTATTGAGGTTTTATGTGATATTATCGTCTAGCAACGAGTCTGGCAACCGCACACACACACACCCATACAAACACACACACACGCACACTCTCTCTAATGCTCTGGGCATAATCAGTGGCAAAAATTTGACACGTTGGCTAAAAAAAAGAGATAAGAAAAAATGCGACCAATATTTTTCTACAGTAAACGCCATATTTTAACAAGTGTTTGTGTGTGTGGTTGTGTGTGTGTGTGTAACTGTATTTGCATATCTGTTTTTGATTTTTGTCGCTGCTGGCGCATATTCAATTTGACGGGGATTTCTCTCGCGGAACATGAAATCAATAAATCTGCTCCACTGTCTGAATCCAATTTATCACTTTGACGACTTTTCACTTTAGACTGCTGCTCGTTTTATAACCACACACATACACACACACACACAGAGAGAGAGTGAGACACGCCCACATATGTACAATCCACGCCCTTTTAACCCTCACTCCCCCTCTTCAGGCAATCATCCATTTATGAAGTGGCAAACAGGCGATTGGTGGCCTATTCCCGAGGTGCATGAGTAATCTGTGTGTGTGGGTTGAGTGTGTGTATGCCCCTCTTCTTCTTCTGCCTCATGCAGTAGTTGCAACACGCCCTCATAAATCGATCAATAATGAAATTTAGTAAAATGTTGCGTTATCCTGCGGCGCCTCCTTTTGTGTTCTTTTGTGTGTGTGGCAAGTGCTGAAAATGGGAAGCATTTATTTATTATGCAACGAACCCAGTAAGAAAAAGGTACAAGGTGTGTGATAAAAATGTGCACAAGTGCTTAACAGGCTAGAGAATGCAGTTCTTAGCCCTTAGGGAGTATATATTATTGATCAGCCGAAAGGTGACTTTTATTTGTCAGTATTCAAGCAGATATCAGAGTCTATAAAAGCTGGAGCTTTAAATTTATTTGATTTTATCGATAAGTGCACCGCTTTGCGATATAGTCGATGTTAATTGATATCATCGAAATAACAGTTGCAATAGACCAATTGACATATAATATACCCAGACAGTTATCATGGATCAACAGAGTATCTTCCAGTCGATTCTGGTCTGAAAAGAGTGCAGATAAAAAACACACTTTGATTTTCTTTTTTTTTACATTAAATATATTTAGACGTTTTTCATTCAAAATTGTTTTTGAGTCACGCAAATGTGGCACGCAATTTTTTTGCTCTCGACTAGTTTGGTTCTAGGTAAATATTTTAAACAAAATATTGCAGCTGGAATGTTTTTCATTTGCGCCACGCCACATTTGCCACAGGGTGGAGGGAGGGGAAAGGTTCTTGGGGGGTATTTCTTGACAACGTTTATCGTTTTAGCAAACTTCTTACATCAAATACATTTATATAAGTATTTTTTTCCATTTATATTTATGCATTTCTCATATTTTTTGCCGTTTTTTTTGTATTTATTTTCTTTTAAATATTTTACTGTATCGTTTTTTGTTGTTGTTTACATTTAAGTTAAAATTATTATGTAAGCTACATTAAATTGTTAATTATTTTAAAATTACTCGTTACTCGGTGCCTTTGGTTTTTGTTTAATGTTATAGGAAATGAGGAAATTTAAAGCGAACTTAAAATAGTACTGGCAAGCTTTAGTTAAGACATAGAGGAACTCAAAGTCAGAACGCTTAAGACTAAATATTAAATAAAGTTTTAGTTAATTTATTACAAGCATTTAATGCACTAAACTAATCAACTCTTCACTTTTTAGGCAATCTAGCAAATCAAAGCTTTTAATAATACCAAAAAGACTACATTTAAGTTGTGAATGAACAAAAACAACACCTGTAAAAAAATAAGTGTTGTTTTTTTATTCTGAGAAATGTACTCAAGTTTCACTTTGGGTGTTTTTCTTGCACGTTTTATTGGTAACTTTTGCGCTTACTTCTAGTCAAAACTCTAAATACATTTAGCTTAAACTAATTTGCTTTATATTATAAATTGTATTTTATATATATATTTTTTTTTTGCTGAACTTTCCTTTTTGCTGTTTATTTATTTTTCTTATGTTTTTCTGCTTTGCGTGTTGTCAAGTTTCCATTTTTGTTTGCTCCCTCTCTCTCTCTCCTTCTATGTCTATCTCTATTTCTCTCCCTATCTATTTCTCTTCTTCTCTTGTCCCCTGCTTCATCGTCAATTTATCTGCTGATTGTCCACTAAAAACTATGCTCGCTTCGGCTCAATTTAAGAGAGTTCTCTTTCGCTCAATACTCGATCTCTCTCTCTCGCTCTCTCTCTCTCTCTCTCGCTTTCTGTTTGTTCTTCTTTAAGATACACACTTGTTTTATTTTTTATCGATAAATTTCTCACGCACACACACACATTAATCAAACATGGCAAAGTTTCAGCTTTCGTTATTGCAAATGCAAATTATATATATATATATGTTTGTTTTTTCTTCAGTGCATAATTAAATTGGCAATAAATTTATCGACGAGCTTAAATCAATTGAAATATGCACTTATTTTATTCATTATCTCTATGTACGTATGTATGTCTGAGTGTATGTATGAATGTATCTATGAGTGTATTCATGAATGTTTATGCATGAGTTTTTGGATTTAATTTTTTTCATGTTTCCTCCTTTTTGTCTCTCTCTGTCTGTATCTATTTATATATAAATTGCATTACCCTTTCCCCAGCTTGCCTTTTATTACAATACAAGTAAACATATACATATTCATATACATAAAAACACATATATATACATACATATATATATATATATATATATATAGTGTATATGTGTTTATAAGCATAATTTACCTTTATTTATTCAGTCTTAAGCTACAAAAATCGTTATGCATATTTCTGCCTTTTCTTTTTTATTTTTTGGTTTTCCAACTGCTAAAATTTGAATCTATTCAAATGAGTATTTAAATTCGCATTGTATTTTTGAGTTATTCGTTTTTAGTTGTTGTTCTATTTTTGGTTGAGTGCAGCAAAAGCAAAAGTTAAGCAAAACTCAGCTCTCTCTTTTGAAAGGAAAGAGGAAAGAGGCGACAGATTGTGGGCGTGGCACAACAGCAGTCGAAAGACTAGTTTAGATTTAGTTTTCTCAGGTTCAGCTCCGAGTTTACAGAGGAGAGTGGAATGGAGAGGGGAGAGTGAGTGGCGGGCTTATGACTAAAAAGCAATCTTAACTGTCTAGCGTTGAGAATCTGGCTCCAGAATGGCACCCAGCTTGACATCTAATTATTCCGTACTCTATTTTAATATATAAACTCGTATTTGGTTTGTATTTTTAGTATCTTTTTTTTTTTTGTATGTGGTTTTTTATTTCTTGTCTGTATCTAATAAGCTATCAATTGAAGTTTTCAGCTCGTTCTGTACAGGCATGCCCCACTTTAACTAAGTATGTAAGTGGATTGCATTTATTTACACTCCGAAAAAAACCGACATAAAATTTAGTAAATCGCCCTGACAACTGGGAAGTTTTTCTAATTTTTTAATATAATTTCTATATATACGAAAATTAATTACTTAAAATTAGAAAGGCCTTTTTATATACGGTAGAAAATTTTTCGCGTTTTATTTTTTCTAACTGTTTTCTAATATTAAGAAAACCCTTAAATGTGGGAAGTTACTTTATAAATTCGGAAAATATGAAAAGAAATTTACACGCACGATAACCATTCGAATTCGAATTCAGACGGTTATAAATTTTTCTTTATAAGTTGTACGAATTTTTACAAACTACTTAAAATGTTTAAATACTACTGTTCTGCATAATAATTTAAATACCAAAATTGGAGAAAACTCTATACTGGAATTAAGAATAGAAAAAATCTGCTTTTGAGCTACTCTTGGCGATTTTCTAAATTTCAGTTCGATTTTTTTTGGCGAGTGTATTTAGTATTTCCTGTTGTTGTCTGTATCTAATGGCTATCAATTGAAGTTTTCAGCTCGTTCTGTACAGGCGTGCCTGGCTTTCTTGTACCTTAACTAAGTATGTATGTGTGTTTGTGTGTGTGCTTGTGTGTATTTTTGTGTGTATGTTTGTGTGTGTGGGACTACCCCTAGCTAGAATCTAGTTAGTAGTAGTTGGCTAGCTCTGACTCTCTAAGACGTTTAGCGCTTTCCAAGTTTTTACTGTACGGTGTGTACCTTGCTCAAGTAAACGAATCTCTCAAATAATGCAATCTCTATCTATATATATATATATATAGCTATATCTGTAGTACAGTTTATTTGTTACGGTTTCTTTGATTTTGCTTTGGTTATGTTTGGTTTCTTTCTCTATACTTGGTTACTCGGTTTATCTCGGTTTTTGTGTGGTTTTTTCCTTGTAGTTTGAGTTTAAATGAAACGCCAGTTTGCTCGGAGGTTCGCTTTTTTTTGGTTTTCTTTTTTTTTTTGGTTTTGCTGGGTTTTTGTTTTTAGTATTCTGCATGTAGCTATCCAAGTTGTTATTGTTGTCAAAATCGAGACTAATAATGCTATCAGCTATCAGTTAGGATTAAATTAGTAGGTTTTTTTTCGAAATTTTACCATTTTATACATATTTACAAGATTTTAGTTTAGGGTTTTAGCTTTTATCTTCTCATTTTTTCTTTTTTATCTTTTTTCTTATTTTTGTTGAAGCTCGTTGCCCAAAGAAAGTTTGCTTTTGACTTAGGAGCTATATTTTAGAGGCGTCTTTAGTTTAGCTGTAGTAGAACAACCAAAAAGATTATTATGAATAATGCTGTGGAATATATACACCAAATGTAGAAGGAGGAGGAGGCTGAGGAGGCGGTGGAGGAGGAGCAACCAGCAACCTGCTCAACCCTGACGCAATAGGAGCAACAGCAACGAGCCGAGTGCCACCAGACTGAGCAGTGTCTGTTGTCGATTGGAGGCACCACCGGCTGCACCATTGATGAGCAGATCCTGACCCACATTGCTGCGCACATCCATCAGATCACGGGAGAGGGGCAGCTCGGTGGGATCGCTCAGCTCATCGTGGCACGGCAACATCTCCGGCTTGAGTATGAAGAGTCGCGCATTAATCGAGTTCTTAGTGGCATCCAGTGAATCACCACCGGCTGACAGATGCACATCCACATCGACATCATTACGAGCCAGCGGAGCACCACTCGAACTGGAGTACGAGCTCTGCTTGTGTAGATTAAGATTATCGTCCATGTCCAGACCCAAACCCAGACCCAGTCCAGCCACATGTCCACCGCCACCACCCGTTGTCTCATCATAGTAATCATAGCGTTTCTGGTTCTGTCCCGCAACTGCTGCCACACCCAGCGCCTCTCGACGCTCTCGCAGCTTCGACTCCACAACATTATGCTCGGTGAACTGACGTTGACCCCGCAGTGCCTGGCGAGATTTGCTCGAATGTTTCTTGATGCTGCTGCCCAGTTCATCGAGATTGGCATAGTTGACGCTGTTGCCAATGCCGCCCATGCTGGCGCTATTGCTGCCAATCGCCGTGAAGCCACCAATGTTCAGTATGTCCAGGATGTGCGATGGAACCGGATCGATGAAATGTGACAATTTTGGTTCGTGCAGTGTGCAAATGAAATCCTCCAACGAATCCCGCAGTTGCAAATGACGTGTGCGATTTTTCAATTCAAAGATCCATTGTAGACGACAGTCGCAAATGAATTTGTTGTCTGCAGCACAAAGAGAGAGTGGGAGAAAGAGAAAAAGAGAGAGAGAGAGAGATGAGTATATATATATATAGCAAGGAGTGCGAGAAAATAGAATTGACAGCTTTGGACAGTCCAGACACAAAATTGGTAAGTGTGTGCGGGCTGCCCTGAAATTGCTTTTGTCAAGTTGTTGACCCACCCAACCAGCAAAGCCGAAAATTGAATATACTGCAATTCGATATGAACTTTGATGAAAAAATTGTGTTTTTATATTGAAATTTAATATTAAGCTAGAGATAAAACTAATGATAAATATCTTATGCAAATCGGTTAAGTTTTGATAGAGCTATATAATATTAATAAAGTTATGGTTAGGGGAAGTTTGGATACGTCCCTAGAAGCACACTTTGAGAGTAGAATTTTAATATGATTCGACACAGAATCGTATTCTCAACTTTAGATGTAGTAGTGGTAAGTTTACTTGTATGGGTTAGAAGAGTCATTTCCAACCCACATCTTTAAGAAGTCGACCATTAATACTCCCCAAGGATATGTATACCAAATGTGCTCCGTTAAGTATTCTGCCAAGCGTTACATACTTGGAGGTAAAGTCAAAACATCCCTGAGGCAGATTAGAGACAGCCAGCTCCTCACTTCAGTTGCTGCCTATTGTGTGCCAGACCAGGTGAGACAGGGCCAGACAGACAGGAGACAGGAGCAGAAGGAGGAGCACGAGGCGAATTTGGACTCAGGTTAGTTGAATTTCGTCTGGCATCAGGTTAAGTGGCCACAGCGTGCTGCAACAATTGGCTGTCATTTGCTGGCCATGGCGCACGACTTGAATCGGAAGTGGACTCGGATCGGATATATCTTTTTTTGGGCCAAGCCCAAAGCCAGGCCAGTTTCGTTTTAAATGATTTGAACGTTAAGTCTGACTGCTTTCAAATTGCTGTCGTTGACAACGCTGTGCAAGTTAAACGCCTAACATTTCCAATTTAGACGATGCTGCACCCTGGTGAGGCATGTGGAGTTGCAGCTGCAACAGCTTCAGCCAGATTTTGACTGCGTCTGTCTGTTCCTCTGCCTGCTGCCTACCTGCTGTCAATTATTTTGTGTCCACGCGTGGCCCCCTCGGGGGCAAAGTCTGCGACTTCGAATCGATTGTCATTGATTCGCAGCAATTTGTTGTTAGCCTCAAATTGAGCGCATGAAAGTCAAACTTACTCATTGAAGCGTCGAACTAAATTGTCGGCCTGATTAAAGTGTGTCTGCATAAATATGTAACACACAAGTTTCAATTAGTTGTCTGCTCCTCTGTCTGTCTATCCGTCTCTCTATTATGGGTTGTAGCTAGTTAATGCCCTGGTAAATCTCTCGAGTGTAATTAGGCTCGGTACGCTGGCACAGTTTTGCACAGTTTGTCAACATGCATATAATTAGCATAAATGTTACAAACAAAATATTGACTCTTTGACTGGTACACACACACACACACACATACTCACACAAAGGCACGGCTCCAAGGACTCTATTGTCTGCGCAGTGAATCACAACTACTACAATTGATCCAACAACGACAACAACAATATAATTTGTGACATATATTTTGTGGCAGAAGACCCAGGCAAGCCACAAAAGAAAAAAAAACCAACTTGCAACGACTACAAAAGAAAACTTTCGTTGCGCAAATAGTTTAGCAAATTACTCAAGAGAAGTCCAAAATTCTAACATATATTTCCTCATATGTGAAAAGCATGCAAAATGCATAAATAAAGTTGAATATGCAAAAAGCTGGCGACTCTGGCAACTTGGCAACATTTAGCAAGCAAATTACAACAAAATTAACATGATAATGAACTAACCCAACAAAGAGTTAGCGCGGAGGGGTAGGTTTGGGGCAAGTGAAGGTAGGCGAGGGAGGGGTTGGGGGGAGGAGGGGAGAGGGAAGGGGAGCTAGCTGAAAACTGGCAGCTGTTTTCAGCTGACCAAATGACAATGACTTGCCAGACATGCAAAAGCACAAAGCACGACCAAAAAATAAAGGGAACGAACAGTAGGCACTAGTAGAGAGCGCCCAATTGAGAGATACCCTGTTAAATAAATAAAATACAATAAATATATAACATAAATAAATTGAGATATCTTATATACAACAAAATATATGTAATACACATGAAATCAATAAAATAATCAAAAGATACAAAATAAAATAGAATAAATGAAATGAATAAAATAAATAAAACATACAAAAGAATAAATGAAATAGGTAAAATATAATTTTACTTAGAACTTAAAGTCTCTAGTTCAGATTGAATCTGATATTTGCCTGATTACATAGACAGATAGACAGACATATCTCATATCTTGCCTGATCTGGAATATATATACTTTATAAGGTCTTAGGTGCTTCCTTCCTACATTATTCTACTTTCTAACAACTTGATTAAACCCATTCTGCCGTTTTTAATTTACTCAGGGTATTAAAATACATAGTGTATATCTGAGTATGTGCGAGAGGTTACACACACACATACCGCACACACACCTACACACATAGTAGATAGTCATGTGACTGGCTTAATGTGCAGCCAAAAACTGTTCATGTGTGGGTGCATAAAATACTTTTATATTTTTAATGATACTTGGCCAAAGCGGTAGGAAGTGTTTTGGTCTGCTGCACACACTCTACACACACACACACCCACCTCATTTTGCTAGCAACGAACTTTGGCTTTATCTGTAGGACATCCCTCCTGTTCCCCTCCTCATGCTTCTTCTACTGCTAGTTTTGGCTGCTGGCTTTGCCGCTGTTGCTAAACTAGACGACTTTCAACTGTCTGTGCCCCTTTGCCGCCTGCCACATGACGTTGCATGTTTTTTTATTTCTACTTTCTACAGTCGGAAACGTTTTTACGGTTAGCAAAGGACATTTACATACACACACTAGCACACACACGCAATATGAGTCATGCATATGCGTCTCTCTGTGTGTACATTAAATTTTATTATTGTCATTTTCATAGCGTTGTCCAAGCTGACCCCCCAACTACCACTCCCCCCTTCCCCCTCTACCCGCTGCCCCCTAACAAGCTTCAAGTGACTGGCTGTTTGCATAAGTTTACATGTGTGTGTTGTGTGTGTGGGTGTGTGTTCCCTTTGCCAACAGGCAACTAGCCAAATTAGACTCAACTGAAGTTTGTTTGGTCAGTTTTAATGCAAATATGTGCCCCTTGCACCCCTCTACCTCCTTTACCCATCCACCGCTGTACGTCCTTTTCTTGTCTATTTTATGTGGCAGGTCAAGTGTCGCAACATATTCATAATAAGTTGTCATTTGCATTTGCTGCAGCAGCAGCTATTCAAAAAGTTGCCTTAATAGTCAACGCAGACTGTCAACTGAAATCTGGGTTCAGTGAAAAATAAGGAGAATAATTGCAAAATAATTTAGGGTTTGTATGTATTTCAAAACCTTTTTTAAATAAAGAAGTGTTTCCCCATTAAAGGAAATAAATTGATAAAACAAAACAATTAATTTTAATTGAGGAGAACTTTTGAAACAGTTTTATTTAAGACGATTGAATTTTTAGCGTCTTAAAAATTTGTGAAGGGCTTCCATATTAAATAAAATAAATAATGAAAGAATCAATTAATTTTAATTAAAGTGACTTAAACCTACATTTTAATTTTACATATAATAATATAATAACTTAATTGCATTTTCATTTAGTGGCACGTACTCCAACTCTTAAGTATATTGTTGAATAATGAATTTGATATAAATACAAAATTTAAATAAAAGTAAAAGAAAACAATTAATTTTCATTAAAGTGAGTTTAGTTGCGCTAAGGCTCCCCCTCGCTCAACACTCAAACCAAGGCCCTTGCAAATCGACGTGTTTAGCTTTAATGGGAAAGAGGATAGGGGCTAAACGGGAAGAGGGTGGAGGGAGTGGGTAGAGGGTAGTGGGTAGAGGGGAGCGGAGGTGTTTGTCATACATCAAGTTGTGCTCCCTAAATGCCGTTTCATTAGCTGGGTTCGCATCCCAGCGGCATAAAAAGAAAAACATTTATTTTAAATTTAATACACTACAGCACACACCAATACACACACCCACATACACACCCACACACACACACACACCGTTACACACGCACAATGGAACAAAGGAAAAGGAAGAGTCTGCTACTTTAATTGGTTGATGGGTGGCACGCACTTTCTACTTTCTACTTTCTGCTGCCTGCGTTTCCTTTTTTTTCGAGGCAGCTGCTGCTGCTTTTGGCGCTGCTCCTGGCCACAAGGTATTAACCCACGACCCCGTCTCTTTTTTTCCTGATTCGTATTTTTGCTTTGAAAGAAAACGAGACGTGGGTTTTTTCTTATTTCAAATATCAACACGGGCGCCAAAAGTTATTTTTTTTTTAGTCGCCCCCCTCGCCCCACAAATCAGTGCAGATGCTGGCCTAGTTACCGCCTTTGTTGCTGACCGGATACCGACTCCTGGCTCCTGGCTTGTGGCTCGTGGCTGGGGCGCCACACAATGAAGAATGCCACAACCGCCAACGCAGCTTTGTTTGAAATCAGCTCATTTTTAGCTGGCTGCTCGTTTAGATGTGGCAAAAAGGGGCAAGTGCGGCCCGTGGAGGCAACTGCACTCAGCAAAAAACATTGCTCTACATATAGTAAATTGCCAAGGGCTTATCTCCACTTTATATTCAGAAAGTCAATTTCTTAAATTAATGTGTCCATTTTAAAACCAGGACTTGCATTTATACAATTTCGAAAATAAATAAAATTCTTATTTATTTTTGTTATATTCATTTGAAAAATTACAATCTTTCGGTGATTACTTGTTTTTTTTTCAAAAATTGGATTTTGCATTTCTACTTTTAAGAAATGGGTTTCTTAATAATAGAAGATATTTCTAATAAATTGAAAAAATCGCCATTTTTTATTTGGATTGTTGAAATATAAGAAATTGAATTCCTAATTCTTCACAAAAATGTAGGACAACTTTTTTCTGA